ATCTTTTGGTTCCCATCTCCCAGTAACACCTTTCCTTCTCATCACTTGCTTTAACTTTGTAATGAAGCTCTCCAGTGGGACTTTGTGGTAGGCATGCTTTATCTTTAAAAATCTCTTCTTGTGCTTCTCTTGTCAGGTCCATCAAGTGTTTTCCTCATCAGATTACCCAGAAGATGACCCAGACTATTGCATGTGGATGCCTCCTGCAGGTATCAAACTGTTTCCTATTGGCTTTCTACTCCTCAACATCCAAAAGTTATTTGCAGAATAGTCATGGTGCCTTTGAAATGTGATTTTTTTGCTTTAAAAAAATCTAAAATAATCATACAGTGCACTTTTATGAATGCTAATTAACATTTTTTATATTGGTGCATGTGCTGCTGTTAGTCCTACAATGAAATGCTGGCCATTTTGTACAATGGCTTAATTTGCCCAAGCATATGGAGATACTCTGGAAGTGTGTGTGTGTGTGTGTGTGTGTGTGTGTGTGTGTGTGTGTGTGTGTGTGTGAAGAATCTCTTAGCAAGTCACTGTTGACACGAGGGAAACCACTGCAATATAAACACACCCAGACCAGCTTTAGTCTCCTTTGCCCTGGGGTGAAACAGTGAAATCACAGTAGCAACAGTGAAATCATAGTAGCAAAGGCTTCAGCCACAAATTAAATATCTAGTGTTGTAGGTAGGCCTGTGCAGCCCACACTCATACAACTTTGTTGCCGTTGTTGCACTTTAACCTAGTCAGCTCAAGTGTCTATAGAGGATGTAAGGATTTCTTAGGGTGATTATCTTTTATTGGATCAGCTGTGTAATTGAGAGAGAGTTAGACAAGCTTTTGAAAGCAAAGACCTGACAAAGAACATCTTGCATTCAAAACCTTGTCTAACTCTCTGTCACCTATTTAGTTAATCCAATAAAAGATCTCATCCTATGAAATCCTTGTCTTGCATAATTTCTGAACCATCACAGCTACAACATCACTCTTACACTTCTGTAGAGGACTGCCATTGTCCCTCAGAATGATTGTAGACAGCCCCAGAGATGCCAAGTGCCCATGTAGACTTTATTGTGGTCTCATTCACAGCGTAGCAAAGGTGGTGTTGGTAAAAAGGGATCTTTGAGCTCACAATAGTTAAATCCAGCATTTTTAGAGGGTTGTCAGTTCTCACTGAAGTCCTTTGGCAGCTGTGAGCATTCAACACTTTTTGGCACTGCCCCCCTGCAGTTTGTTCTGGATTTCCTGGCCCAAGCTACTTGCACCTTGATTCCTGTGTTCTGGAGAGACAAGTCTGACTTGGTTGTGAAGGTAGAGAATGACTCGTTAACTTAATGACTCATTAAGTCCAACTTGATTTGGGGGCTGGAGAAAAAAAAATAACTTTCCTTCCAACTGGCTTTCAAAGTATTTTTGTTTAACATGCAGTAATTCTTTTAATGCTGCCATGAATGTTCAGTTACTGAACATCCATACTTTAACATGTGAATGTATCATTGCATCATTAAAAATTACAAACAATTAGGGGCGTATAACATCAATTGTCTTCTGAGTGAGAGGAGATGAGGAATAAAGTTTACCAAGGAGAGCGCTAATGTAGGCCTAAGTGAAGTGAATTCTGCTGTAATACAAGGACTGCACTCCAGTACTAAACTAATCAACCAGAATAAGATTCCTGCCTCTGTTGGCCAAAAGAGTATCTGACCTATTTGTGTCTGGCCAGTTTCCTCTTTGGAAGGAGCAAGTTTTTCCAGTCTGCTAATAGATTCATAGATGTTAGGGTTGGAAGGGACCTCAATAGATCATCGAGTCCGACCCCCTGCATAAGCAGGAAAGAGT